TATGCTGCTCTCAAGCCATTGTTTCTATCAGTGCATGAGACTTTTCGTTGTAAAAGTCAATACAAAGATATGCAATATTTACGTCAAGCTTAGAATATGCACGCCAAGCTTTCCCTTGCTCATAAAAATCCAAATTGAGGGTAAAAATTAAGTACGCATTACGTCTGTAAAATGTTAATAATTATAAATTAAGGTAGAATTCGATAATTAAACAAGACAATTATAAGTGTAATGTATGTGAAAAGGACTTGAATTAATATAATACAAAGCATAGATCAAGAATTGAAATTTGAACTAATTGGGATGTCTTTTCAAGATCGGACTTCATGTAATTTCGAAGAAGCAAATTAGCAGGAATGAATAAACCTTTCTCCTGCTACTGGTAGCTCAAGGCAGAAAGTGGAAAAGGAGAAGAAAGAAAAATTGGTCGCCCCAGTCCTTCCATCTCTAGACCACCGAAGTTGAGCAGAAGAGATGGGGAAAGCAAGATCTTGTTTCAAATGAAAATGGCGATGAGGGGAAAGAGTTTAGTAATTTAGATGAAGCTGATATTTCTCCCTGTGATAACTAGATGAAGATATTCATCACAACCTGGAAGGAGGCATGGTGGTAGCACACAACAGCAGATGTACACTCACTCTCTCAAAAACTTAATGTGTTGGTTTTGGATCTCAAACAAGGTTTATTCGCTTGAGATTGGATCTCAAAAGAGGCTGAAATGAATTTGAAGCTTAACCTGGGAACTTTGTGGTTTTATAGAATGAGCAATGTGATTGTTTGAAGGAAGAATCCCTATCTATTATGTTTGCTTGCTTTGTATTCATAGCCTTCATTTTACTCCTGGCACTTTTTATTAGAGATGTCGTCAAGGATTTCATCCTTTCGATCTTTTAATTTTCATTTTGATAAGTAATTTGAACTACATCTCTTGGCATAAAGTGGACTTGTTAGTACGAACCTTGAAGAGATTTATTAGTACAGAGATGGTCACATCTTCATTCCATGGATACTTAGGTCTTCCGGCCAAGCTATAAAACTTTAACTTGGCAGTCTATCCTTATATTTTCATCTTAGTCACTTGCACGCATGGTCAGGTTTTACTTGACGCATTGCAAAAAAAAAGGAAAGTTGTTGCTTGCTTTTGTGGTTGAGTAGTTGAAGAATATTTCTTTTCTTGTCCTTTTTGTTGTGTGTCTGTGGGTGTGGTTAATTACTTATGGATTGTATCTGAAATTATTAGGTCTTTAATTTTGATAGTTCCTGTTTGTTCGTTTTGGTTTGGATCCTGTTCCGGAAGCTAATAATTTTAACAATCATTCTCAAATTGGGATTACTAAATCTATGGCTTCTGATCTTCTGGTCCAGTTTGTTGTTTAATAGATTTTATTATTACGTCTCTAATTTCTTTGTTCAGATAGTAACATTTTGGATTTTTTTTCTTTTGAAAATCTAATTGGGTAGATATTATTGCGTCCAAAGCCGAAGAAGTTAAAGGTTTACTAAGGTCATAAAAATATGCACGTTTCAAAATTTTCAATGGTCACAAAACTTTAGAGTTTTATTCTAATAGTAATTCAAGTATAAGTTAAAGTTTGTTTATTTCTAATTATTTTATAACAGTTGAAGTGTATTATTAATTTGAATTCGATTCTGTTTATTTTTCAATTGTATTAGGACACTTGAGATCAATTCCTAATTTAAATCGTAAAAGCCTAGTTTCTATATATTTAAATATCATTACTTGAATTGTGCAACTCAGAAAGAATCAAACTATATCAAATACAAAACCAGGTAATTCTCTTTACTATTTCTTTTTTTTTTTTCAATTTAAGTTGGCTTTTATCATAATTTTTTTTCCTTTTAAAGTGTTTCATTAACAAAAGAGCTTTTTATTTTTTTATTGTTGATTTAGAAAAGCATGGAGAACGCCAAAGTGGATTGGGAAAAGCTTCCAACACTTTGTCTCTATTCGGTTCTTGACAAATTAGGTGTTCCTAGTAATTTGGTTCGATTTGGTCTAGTCAGTAAGTATTGGTATTCCGTTTTCAACAATTTTCTTAACTTAAAAAGGCAATCATCACCTAATCTAGTTCCCATGCTCCTGATTCCAACAAGAATGAGCAACAGAGTTAGACAATTATGTAGCTTGCAAGCCAAAACAAAAATCTACAACATAGAGTTACCAAAGTCTCATATCAAGAGATCTTGTGGGTCTACTTATGGTTGGTTAGCTGCTGTAGACAAGAACATGATCATAACCCTCTTAAATCCTTTTAAGGATGGGATCACAATTGATTTACCTAAAATTGAAATTCCTGATCTAGGATACCCATATGAATATAATGAATATGATGTTCATAAGGTTATCTTGTCAGTAGATCCTTTATCGCATCTAGATAGTTATGTGGTTGTGATTATCTATGGCATGATGTCCAGATTAGCCTTCTATAAATCCGGACAGAAAAGTTGGATATATCTAGATGAGGATTTGGAGGCTTTCACTGATGTTATTTTTTATAAAAATTTGGTTTATGCTATTGGAACTCGGAGCTTGACAATCTCTTTTGAAGTTAATGATAGTCTCGACAATAATTTGAAACCAAAGGTGAAGATACTCATGTCGACGCGTCGAAGATTAGAGGATTATGTTGATCATGCGTATCTTGTTGAATCATCTCAAGGAAATCTATTCTCTATTAAAAAGGAAATTGATGTTGAAGAGTATCATTGTTGTGCTCATTTTACGAAAAGTTTCAAAATTTTCAAGTTGGTTTTGGATGATCAAAGCGGTGAATTGTTAGAAGAAAAAGAAGTAAAGAATATAGATGGAGATATAGTGTTCGTAGGTGATAATCAAACTTTGGCAATTTCAGTTTTGGATTTTCCAGAAGCTCAACCTAATTCTATATATTTCACAGATGATTATTTTATTTATACTACTTATAAGCCATTTGGTCCTCGAGATAATGGTTTTTTTAACATAAAAGATGGAAAGGTGAGAAAACATTATCGATTTAGGCCTTGGCACAAATATCGATTTCCTTTTATTTGGATTCAACCACCAGATGAATTTAGATTACGGTAGTTTTGATTTTTGAGTACATATGTTAATTTAATTTTATACAATTATTTTAGATTGTTACTTTTAGATTATTTTAGATTTTTGAGTACATATCCTTCTCATCTATGTTACTTTTAGATTGTTTTTTATATTTAATACAATTATTTTTTTAATTAGTGATGTTATTACTGTTACAATAACTATTCCTCTATTGAAATTAATTAGATAATGATAATTTAATTTTTAAATATTTTCTATACACTATTGTCAAATTAACAAAAGAATACGAACTAATTAACACTAAATTAAGAAGCCAAAATCCATAATTATATTATCACTAAATCACTCGTTATAGATTCGAGGGCGGGTATAAATAAGTAATAATAAAAAAAACCTTCTCAAATTTGAATAATGTTCCTGCCATCATTCTGTGTTTCAAAAGGATCGTTTTCAATCTGAGTCAAAACGATCGTAAACCCATTGATAAAGGAGAGCATTGGCTGCAAACATCGGCTCGTTCTCTCGCTCAATCTGTTCAGCCGCAACTTGCAGAGCTCTTAGTGACTGTCGCATACGCCGAATACCCTTTCTTTTCCTTGTCAATCTCACTGTCATATCCCTCGGGCGACGACCTTGTTTGGACGAGCGATTTTCAAAACTATAAATGTTCAATTTCAGCTGCAAAGCCGAACAACCTTTTGCCCCACGTTTTGGCCATCCTCCATGTCAGCCACCATTTCAATCTCTCAATTCCAATTTTTCCCTCCATGACCCTAACGACCCAAATCCAACCAAATTTTCCTCCCCAACAAAACCCAAATATTTCTTCTTCCAAAACTCCGATAATTTCTTTCCCCAGGACCGTAACATGCAACTACAACTGGTACTCAATAGAACCGACAGCAGCCACAGTCAACCGCAGAACCAGATAGACTCCACCGCCTCTGGCCAAGTCCCGAAGGAGGTTCGGGAAAGAATCGACCAGGCCGTGAAGCAGGCGTGTAGCGAGCATATTGAGTACCAGATAGAAACCATTGCCTTGAGATCTGCATAAAACTGTTTTCATAAAGCATGACTTATTTTGATTTTGGTATGCGCTTTACAGGGATGTATCATGATTTTTTCACAAATCGGTGAGTACTGCTCATAAATTACAACCTCTAAAGTCTAATGTCTTGCGTGTTGGTTCAAAGGTGCATCGTTGATAATTATGACCTGGTAAAACTTTCATTAGTGTAGTATAATATATTTATAACTGTTAGTCCTTAACAGTAATGGAGTTGGCCTTTTGTCAGCATAGCCTAGGAATCTATTACACTTTCAATATTTCCTCTTTTGGCATTAAAAGGTAAAGATTTTTATGTAACATACTTGAAATGTTTGTTTTCTTTGCACTTTCCATATGATACGCTGTAATTTGGTTATATATATTGTGGTTCGTTTTCTTTTCACTTTCTGTGTGATGTCCTATAATTTGGTTATAAGGCTTTTTTGGTATCAACATCATGCATGTGAACATATTACCTTATGAAGTCAACTTTTGACTGCCTAATTGCATCTGCTTTTAGAGTTAGTCAAATGATCTGATTTGTTAGTATAATACTTACTGATTCGGAGTAAGTGTTGGAATTTTAGTTGAAACAACATGTGCATAGAGGAGGGAGGGAGGGAGGGGGACAATCGTTGTCTACATAATTACATTACTTTCTTTATACACTTCCACATGTGCTCTTAGATAGTAGAACAGAGAGAGACTTAGGTACAGAAGTTTTTATATATAGCTTATACAATAGTGTATACAAAATGTTAAAAGATAAGATTGAATGTTAAAATGTAAATGCAATAGTCGCTAATTAAAAATAAAAAATCTTTAAATAAAATTTAAAAGACAATATCTAGACTAAAAAATAAAATTAACATATATCTTCAAAAACCAAAACTATCGAAATTTAAATTCAACTGGTGGTTGGATCCAAATGTAAGGAGGTAAATATTTATGTTGAGGTTTCCACTTGTAATATTTTCTCACCTTTCCATCTTTCATGCTGAAATAACCATTATCTCGAGGGCCAAGTGGCCAATAAGCGGTAGCAATGAAAAAATCGTCTGTGAAATATATAGAATTGGGTTGGCCTTCAGGAAAATCCAAAGCTGAAACAGCTAAGGTATGATTATCACCCACAAATACTATATCCCCCTCTATATTCTTTACTTCCTTTTCTTCTAGGAATTTACCACTTTGATCATCCAAAACTAACTTGAAAACTTTGAAACTCTTAGTGAAATAAGCACAAATATCATCATAGTCCTCAAAATAGACCTTCTTTTTAATAGAGAATAAATCTCCTTTAGATGATTCAACAAGATATGCTCGATCAATATAATCCTCCAACCTTTGACTTGTTGACATGAGTATCTTTACTTCTGGTGATTTCAAATTGTCATCAAGATTATCATTAACATCAAAAGATACTAGCAAGCCTAGATTTCCGATAGCATAAACTAAATTTTTATAAAAAATAATATCAGTGAAAGCCATCAAATTCTTATCTAGATATATCCAATTTTTCTGTGTGGGTTTGTAGAAAGCTAATCTAGCTCTAAAGCTATATATAACTACAACTACATAATTACCTGGATGTAATAAAGGATCAGCTGACAAGATAACTCTATGAATGTCATATTGGTAGCCTGCTGACGTTCTATCATCAGATGGAAGTTCAATCTCAGGAAGATCAATTGTGATACCATCCTTAAAAGGATTTAAGAGAGTTATAATCATACTATTATTCACGGCGGCTAACCAACCGTGGGAAGAACCACAAAATCTCTTAGTATGAGATTCTGGTAACTCAATGTTGCAGAATTTTGTTTTGACTTGTAGGCTGCATAATTGTCGAACTCTGTTGCTCATTCTTGTTGGAATTAACAACATGGGAACTAGATTAGGTGATGATCGCCTTTTTAAGTCAACAAAATTGTTGAAGACTAAATGCCAATGCTTACAGACTGCACCAAATCGAACCAAATTGCTGTGGACATCTAATTTGTCAAGAACTAAAAAGAGACAGATTGTGGGAAGATTTTCCCAATTTGCTTTAGCATTCTCCATGCTTTTCTAGATCAACTGTAAACAGGAAAGAAAAAGAAACTCTTTGGTTATTGCTAATGAAAGAACTTAAAAAAGTAAAAAAATATTATGAAAAATCTGAAGAAAAGAAACAGAAAAGAGTGTTACCTATCTTTATATTTGATATGTTTTGCTTGTTTGTGAATTGCGTGTAGGTTTTATATTCTTGACATCCTAATCCAATTTAAAGTAGTAATTAATTTCAAGTGTTATAATACAACTGGAAAAATAAACGAAATCGATCCAATTCAAATTAGGAATAGATTTAAAGTGTTATAATATAATAAGAAAATAATCAAATTTGAGGAGTTCAATCCGTTGTATTCATTAGCTGGATTAATTCAAGAGTTTGTTCAAATACCAATAATCCAGCAAATTTTACTGTACATTAATTGAAACTCTATGAAGCACATGTTGATTGAAACAAGAAAAGAACATATTGCAGTAATCATTAGTTGGGATTAATTCAGGACTTTTTTTTGTTAATTCCACAGTTTTACATTAAGAATTTAGCCGTACTTGGAAAAAGAGACCTATAGCTGAGTGGTTTCCTTTTCAATGTGATGCTTCCAAGGATTTCTGCCATTATTTCCAGCGGCTTAATACTCACTAAAGCGACATTATTTTTGTTTTGGGCTGAAGAGATATTAGCGGGGATATACTGTGCGCATGTCGTTCAATATACCTTGCTCTTTGTCTGCATCCAGTGATGTAATGGCGATTGGGGGAATAATTCATTCCCCTTTGTTAAAGAAATCCATTGATTGACTTTCAAAAAAGGTTTTGAAAAATTTCTCCTTCTCCAAATCTTGTTTTACCAGAATCCACCAGCGTCTCAATTCATGCTATTCTCTTCTGATTCTATTTACATAGTCAGGGTAGAAGTTCAAGTAGTGATCTGCTACTATGACTTACCAAAACTTTTTAACCTGCATTCACTAGATTAACTCCTTTAGACTTTGGGCGAAATGAAGCCCAATTGGAGAAGTAGGGTGCATCGAGTTTGGCCCTTATATTTTGATGCACGACGAGTCCCATCCCTTATTGTTCAAGACTGGGCCTTTTCTGTTTTCTGGGCTCATTCCCACACTCACCTATTTTGAGCTGACATTGGGAAAGCTTTACAAGTGATAATACAGCTCATACAATTAAGAAAAATTGGATCACTTACTTTTTTTGGGTACATTGAAGACAGGCACAACTCAAATCTAATATTTGTACCAAACCCATCCCACCCTTGCCACTTGAGCATTTTTGTGCCTACTACCTTTCAAGATGCACACCCTAGGCCCTCGGCACTAAAGGTGAATGTCTCAACGAAACGAAGGCAAGCAAACATAACAGATAGGGATTCTTCCTTCAAACAATCACATATTATATATATATATATATATATACATACATACTTGAAAAAGCATCTCAAATAGCTCAAATTTCAATTCTTGATTTATAGTTTGCAGTACATTTATCTTTTGCACTATTTCAAGTTTTTGTTATACGTATTATATACTTCTTATTTATATCTATATTTAAAGAAACCTTCAAAAGACTTCCTTGCTTCACACTTGGCAATATATGCCGTAGAAGGAAAATCTCCAAAGGTTTCTTTCCTTTTATATGGTTATTACATTTTTTTTAATTTTTCAACAGTTATTATTAAATATCAAGTCATATTTAATAAATATTAAAATAGTAATTGAAATATAATTATCTTTTCTTTACATTAAAAGTTTAAAAAAATTGAATCATACTATTTACTAAAGAAAAAATATACACATGTCAATTACTGAATCAAATTATATAATATAATTCTCTTTATCAAAATTAAAATATGCAACTATTATTCATAAAAGTTTAATTTTAATTTTTTTTTAATTTTAAATTTTAAAACATAACAATTTAAAAGAATTTAAATATATCCATTGATATAACTTTAGTATCTATTTGCAAACATGGCAAGATGGAGAAAAAAGAAAAAGAAAGAAATGATAGACTCATATATAATTTTGCTAAGGTATATGTATGCACGTAGTGTTTGGTATGAGAGAAATGAGAGTACATTTCTTGTAATATATCTAATTAAATTATATTGTAGTGTTTATTTTGCAGCAAACTACTGCAATGTAAAATTGTAATGAATCACATTACAATCAATAGATGTAATATAATTACAGTTTAAAAATAATACAATTAAATTACATTGCACTTTATAATGTTATTAAAGATAATTTTATCATTAAATTTTGTTATTTTATTAAAAATATTTTATAATATTATAATTTTTTTAATATAGATTTCAACGATGTCTTTTTATTATTCTCAGTAATCATGGCGACTATCAATAAAATTTATATTATTTTTTAAAAAATTAAAATAAATATATAATATAAAAAATTATATTAAAAATAAAAATAAAATATATAAGACTATAATAAAAAATAAAAATGAAATATCTGATATTAAAATATATTTAAGAATTGATGTTATATAAAAATTAACAATAAAAAATACAAATAATGGTGGTTATAATAACAACAGTTATATATTTTGTAAAATAATATTTTGTACATGTCAATGCACACTAGCAATTAGATATGATAATATAATTACTATCGTATATCTATTTCACAAAGTATTTTCAACTCAATTGAAAAAAAAATGTTATCATCCTGAGTGCATCGCACGGATAGCAAAATAGTACTTTTTTTATTTGGTTGTCGAATTTTATCATGATTTATTATTATCAATTTTTGAAAAATGTACTACTTAATTTTTATCCTCAATTTGTATTTTTATGAGCAAGGAAAAGCTTGGGGTGCATAATCGAAGCTTGACTAATGTATTGCATATCTTTGTACTGACTTTTAGAAGGAAAAGTCTCATGCAGTGATAGAAAGCAATGCCTTTAGGGTATAAATCTGTTTTTGGAGAGCATTTTTTTTTTAAAAAAAATAGATATGATTTACACACATGCATAGCATAAGTGTAGCTATTGATTAATTCGTAATGCAAAATAAATTGTTAGGTTTATTATATAAGCATAGTAATATTCACCATGCTGCTTGGATTTATGTTTTGAATTTTTTTCATCCAAATTTTAAATATATATAGTATCAATTGATATTTTAGAACAAACTATAATTTGAACTACGATTATCTAACGATAATTCAACATTTAACAATACAAGTTTGGAGATTAATCGCTTTAATTCCCCTATCTGGGTGAGTCTTGTTTGAGCTGTATGTGTCTCACTTTTGTTGCAGAGATGACAGATCATGCAATCGCTGGAAATAAAGATCAGTTTTTGTCTGTTTATGGCTCTTACATTTTCTTGCGACTCGCTTGTTGTAACTTGATGTGACTGTTTTTTGTTCGGAATATTTTGAGCTGTTTGATCATATGTTTTTGTATAGTCTTCCCAGGGAATAAGCATCTGCTATGGTGTATGTATATGTTCGGTTGGGATTGTATTACAATACTTTAGTTGATTTCTCCTCAACCATGCTAGTTGTCTTTTCGAGCAATGCAATAAAATTTTTAATTTTTTTAAACTTGATTGCAGTTTGATTTAATGACAAACAAAATTAAGACATAATCTATAAATTCTTAATTATTTTAAAAAAAACTTGATTGCAGTTTGATTTAATGACAAACAAGATTAAAACATAATATATAAATTACTTCACGTATATGAAAAAGGCAAAAAAAAAAAGTGATTGATATTCAGAATGTGAAAGAACTTTGGTCATAGAAATATCAAATAAAGTATAACATAAATTTTTTTTCAATTTATTGAAATTCATCACTTAATCGTCAATTGTCTAGAAGAAGAGAATAGCCACAGAAGTTACATGATTTTTAGAAAAACTTTAAAAAAATTAAAAATCACAAAATCTAGATGACTTTAGTAATTTTTTAACTAATTCATTTTCTTTTCTTATTGATTCAAAAGGCATATATTCATTTTATATGACTCAACCTTCACCTCACACCTCACACCAAAAATATTTATTTCTACTATATAATCATTCTTCCTTTCCTTTATTTAATAGGAGTTAATTAAAAACCTTTCATTTTTCTACTTTAATTCATATCTTCTGAAAATGGCTTCCAATGCCGTCGAAAATGTTAGTCGTAGAGATTATGATTCGCTTTGCAACCTTTGCAATTATACTGGTTCAAGCTTGAAGAATGTTCTACAACACCAAAAGCAAAATCACAGGGCGCAAATCAAATACAAATGTGATTTATGCAAACGTGGTTTTGAAACCAAAGAAGCAAGAAAGGAACATCGTGATAATGGCCATTGAAGGATATTTAAATATGCCCGCCCATAAACTAGATGTATAAGAAATTATATTGTTATTTGTAGTTATTAAATACTAGATCTATAGGAAATTATATTATTATTTATAGTTATTATTATTAAGTTATTTTGAAGAATTTTAAATATTAATTTAATTACTTATGTTTAGGTACTTCGATTTAATTAATTAATTTGTGTGTGAATTATTGGTGAGAATTGATGATTTATATGAAATATATATATTATGTTATTTGTTATGTTTACTTTTTAGTTATGTTGAATTTTTCCTTTCCTAATTTCACCAACCGAAATAATCTCTTAAAAAAAATTATTGGATACTGTAGAGAGACAAAAGACACCAAAAACAGAGAAAATTAATATATATATATATATATATATATATTTACAGTTACAATAAAGAAAAGGCAAGAGAGATGGTAAACAAAAGAGAGGAAGGCTAATTGAACAGGCTTAAAACCAGGTTGGCAATAGAGGAGGTGGTTGGGAGTATTGTTGCCTTGTCAGGAGGCTGAAAGTTAGGCGTTCAGATATAGTCATGAAACATACTTGTCAATCTTAACTGATACAAAAAAAATCTCCTCTTGGCCCTGAAATATCAATTGCCGCTATATATATATATATATGATGGTGCAAAGGATTGTATAATGGTTTTACAGAAAAAATTTCCGGTCAGCAAAAGGATTAGTAGACTGGAGGGTATGTTGCTTACTGAGCTGAGGCAGGAAAGTTTATCCAACAAGATGAGAGTAGTCATGGTAAAATCTAAAAGAAATATTTCAGGGGCCGTTGAGTGGCTTAATAAATATTTTGAAATATTTATGGCGAATCATGATGCTTGAAGACAACTTGCAAAGATATATGTCTCGCAACAAATGTACAAGCAAGCAGCATTCTGCTATAAGGAGCTTATTTTATCTCAACCATTTGTTGGAATTTAGTTATGCACCACTGTCATAGCAGAGCGTTCAAAAGGAAGTAACAAGGAAACAGAGAGAGTCCAGAGCTCCCATCTCTGCTTACTTCTGCTTTAACAATCCAAGTCAAGGTATTTAAATATGCAAAAATTAGGCTTTTATATCCTTAATATCGTGATGACAATTTAAATTAAAAATTAATTTCAAGTGCTACAATACAAATGAAAAATAAATACAGTCTAATTTAAATTAGGAATGAAAAAAAAAACTTTAAAATTCGATAACCTCTAAAAGGGTGTATATTTTTACATAAAAATTTTAATCTATGAATTCTTTCTATTTGCTTTGGATGTGATAATATGATTGATATCTTCGCCTCTTATCGTTCCGTTTATCCTTACGTTCAGGTGAGATGAATTTATATTTAGAATATAGATTATTCTGTCTAAAGTAAAATAGTTCTAAAGTAAAGCTTGATTGATTTCGAAATTAATACAGGAAAGCAAACAACATCTTTAGTTTCATACCTTTTCATTACGTATGATATGGCAATGCCATAAATTATGTAGTAGTCGGCAAATATATTATAATCAAAACCACTATTTTGAAGTACATGGATTCTTTCCATTGATTAATCTAATTCAATTATTAACTTTTTTTTGCATCAACAACGATTTGAAAATTGAAGCTCCCCAAGCCGCAAAATTTGAGAGCATAACGATTCGATTCGCATGCTTTAATCCTTAATTATTGTAAAGTTGCCTTAATTGGTCTCCTAACACGTGCTTTCCAGTATTCAGAGTATAAACAATGAATCCCTTAATCAGTCAATCTTCAAAATGGACTGTTTATTTCAAGATTAAGGGCTTTGTTAATACTACAACATGACTATTCAAGATAACGACGCTCTATATAAACTAATAAGTATAATCATTAAATCGTTCACACTCCATAATATTAATTTAACTTTAATGTGATGTAAATTAGATTCATCAAGATTGTACCGTTTTTTATAATTATTATAATTTAGCTTAATAATTGTAAAATTTCATCAAAATTGTTTTATTTCTTTATAATATGAAGTTATCTATGGAGTTGGGTGAGGTCTAGCTATCATATCAAAGCCTTTTGTTTTTACTTATACAAGTAGTATTAGTTACGTAGTTTGCGATTAGATCATGGCTAAGCTCAAACTTGTCAAACATGATTAGAAGCCATAATATTTTATAAAAAGGAATATATGCAACTTGATTAAAAAAATACAAAGAATTTGCAACTTGATGATTGAATACAAGAATTTGAGGCCAAAAATTTTGATTGGAATTCCATTCAACAACAAATTCTTCAACATAAAAAAATAATTTCCATGTAGGAAAATACAGCAGGGGAAGTTTCCATGCAGCCTCTTATTACGCACGTGTAGAAAAAACCCCCTTCTTTTTCATATTATATTTTAAGATAAAGAAGGATGCAGCTTTTGTCGTTTCGAGACCAAAAAAAAATTAGGGGACTCAAACATTGCGGTCGAACCGCACGTGCTGATTGTTGGCATGTTGTGACCAGGAACACTGCCGTTTGGTGTTTGTTTTTTGCTAATAATAGAAAGCGGACTTTTCTTCCGTCAAAGTCATACATGATCAAGCCTTTGGTCAATTTCAAAGGTTCTCGCTTAATGATGCGGCTGGCCGTTTCTTGAAGGAAGAAGGTCTTGGATTTCCCCTTCTTGGACCAATGTGGATATGGAAGCTTAGTTTGCCCAAGCTCTGCAACGTTATCCATTGGATTTCCCCTTCTTGGACCAATATGGATATGGCAGCTTAGTTTGCCCAAGCTCTGCAACGTTATCCATATCCTTGAAAGGGCAAATTTGGAATATTAAAATACATTTATAGTGAAAAAAGGAAGAAATTAATAGAGGAAGAACTTAAGATTTGATCAGTCCTAGTAACAATTTTTGTCTTTGGCCGCATAAGAAGAGTCTAAACATTGAAACTTAAGAACTGCTAATGGAGGAAGAAATCATAGGTGAGTGTGGGAACTTTTACTTTTGCAGGGACCAATGTGGTCACATGGCATAGAGCAGAGAAACAAAGAGAAGGATCAGCACAAACGAGAACCACGACAAGAAAAATCAAGCAAAAAAAGTCTTGTTTATACATTAATCAAAGATGTCTTATTTATAAGATATGAGTCCCATTCTTTTTTATTACAATTCGATTTATTATTTATATATATAATTTTCACAATTTATGAATAAATTTTATATATGTGAATGACGATTAAAGATGTTTTAAATATAATTTCGATTGATTGTTAATGTATCTTCTTCTATATTAACACTTGTCGATGGTAAATGAGATGTGTTGAAAGCTTAAAACTCAACTATAAATTTAAGTCCATGTTTGACGAAATTAACTAGATGTTTTCAACCCATATATTGTATACAATCTAAAGTTAAATTCATTCAGTAATAAACTTATGAATAACAAAGCAAGCAGGATTCAACACCGTATTTTTAATTTTTTTTTTCTAATAAAAGTTCAATATATAGATAGCATTAGATCATTGAATCTTACCGTCTTCCTCTTTACTCACTCGTATGAAAGATAAAAATCAAAAGTCAAAATAAGGGCGTGTTTGGTGTTAGTTTTGTTTTAAATTTTTGGTTTTTGTTTTCACTCTTCTTGGAACTAATTTCTACACCGTTACGGTGCGGGTGAATAGTACTCCCGCACTTGAACATTGTCAATCGTTTAATTTTACACGTCTCTATTGCCAAATTGTTGACACGAAAATCCAGACCAGACATGTTTCCATTTTCAATAAATTGACAACAATACTAATGCAAGGTATCACACTTGTTATACACGCTGTAACCAAACCTAAATACATTAGGGATAAACAATGCTCGAGGTTTCCGTATCCTGATTCTTTACAGTTGCATATACTATACATTAAATTATATATTTAAATAATGCAGCAAATTTAATGACGGCAGTCCAATAATCATTAATCATCAAATAGGGTACATTCATCAGCAGCCAATGTCCAATGGGGTTTCAAAGCATCCCAATAAAAAGCATAGTTAGACTAAAAAATTCAACTGACGAAGTGCAATCCAAGTAGATTTTTGGAAAGGTAAAAAGGCACATAGATCTTCCAAAGTGATATGTTGATTTAGTTAAATGTTAATTAAGAAAAATGGATTAGGAGAGAGTGTTAGTTAAGTGTGGCACTATAAACTCACCTTCCTTGAAGGAACATAAAAGGGAGGGAAGTGCAAATTGAGGGAGTGGGTCCATGCCATAATATTTTTAATGGACTATTGACTTTATGGGAGACTTATCCTAAAATTATTATCGTCATTTAACATTATTTTTTTAATTTATATTTTTATACATGTCTAGGGCCAATGAATCCGTTTTGGACAAGAAAAGTCTCAATCTTGTCTTTTTCCTCCTACTTGCTCGACGATTCCTCGGCTAGAATTATTGTTTCTGGTTATTTTCCTATATTATTCTTTTACTATAATTTTTTAAACAAATGAGTAAGAGTTACTATATATATGTTTTTTTCACAAATTCTAGATACCCAATTTTCTTTTACAGTGGTAGACTGAAATAAATAGTTAATCATATTTCAATTCAAAGTATTTTAATTATATTTAACATAACAATTGAAATTTATTAATAAAAAATAATCCATTTTCATCATGTAAATTAAAATTTATTGAGTTTTTATACAATAATTTAAAATAGGAGAACACTTATCTTGAGATGGACTTATTATTTAGATGTTTTTAGCAATTATTCACCCCACCATGAATACAATAATTGACACATTAGGATGTGTCTTTTTCAATTTTCTCATTTTTAATCTTTTAATATTTGAAGAAAATCTTTTTAATGTTTTGACTTTTATATTGAATATGAATGGAATTGTCTCATAATATTTTTAAAAATATATAATAATAAAATATAACAATCATTAAAGCTTGAAGCAAAGGAAAAGAATGGAGAAAAACATCATTACATCAAGAAACAAAGGTGAAAATGAAAGAAAGAAAATGGTATTGGAAAATTAAAAGAAAAGGAAAGAAAATGAAAGGCATGAAAAAAAAAAAGGGGCAATTGAAATTTCGATGGTATTACTCGGCGATTATCAGCCGGACAACTAGAACAAGTGGCCAAGCAAATGGACAAGCAACATTATGCTGCTGTCAACTGGCTGACGTCATCATCTCTCTCTCTCTCTCTCTCACAATTTGGAAGCACCAAACACATCCAAAATATTAATCACGTGTATAAATGAACTTTCAAAGAAACTCATGCCCTAAAGTATTAATTAGAAAATAAATAAATAAAAACCCCACCATTACTAATAAAATATTTTAAATTAATCCAAACCGAAAAATCCGCCAAATCAAATGCATGTATCGATTTCCCCTATATAAACCTACTTTCCTTTTGCCACGGAACGATTCAGACTCCTTAATTCTCAGAATTCCTCTCCCAAGTCTAATCTTTCGTCCTCCTAAAGCAAATCGACCCAAACCCGAAAATTACAAGCTCACTTACCTAAAAATTCGAAATGGAAATGTACCAAAGTACAATTGATTCCGATTTAGCGATGCTGGAGTCGATTCGCCGACACTTACTCGGCGAGCCATCAGACCTCCGACTCACTGCCTCAACGGATTGTACCACGGCTCCCCCCATGTTTTGCAGGAGCTCGAGCTTTAGCCGCTTGTACCCTTGTTTGACTGAAACCTGGGGTGAACTCCCACTCAAAGAAGACGATTCAGAAGACATGCTCGTCTTCGGATTCCTCCGCGATGCTTTAACCGAAGGCTGGGCCCCATCCGATAACTCTTCCACGAATTTCCCGCCAATTAAACCGGAGCCACAGGAGATTTTAACAGAGACACCCGTGAAAAAAGTTGCTACGACGGTGGCGGCGACGGCGGTTCCCGCGGTGGTTCCGGCCAAAGGAAAGCACTATAGAGGAGTTAGGCAAAGACCGTGGGGGAAGTTCGCGGCTGAGATTAGGGACCCAGCTAAAAATGGGGCTCGGGTTTGGTTAGGTACTTTCGAGACGGCTGAGGATGCGGCTTTGGCTTATGATAGAGCAGCTTATAGGATGCGTGGCTCCAGGGCTTTGTTGAATTTTCCGTTGAGGGTGAACTCCGGGGAGCCGGACCCAGTGAGGGTAACCTCAAAGAGGGCGTCACCGGAGCCATCTTCGTCTTCCTCCTCTGGCTCGGTGAACGGGTCGCCGAAAAGGCGGAGAAAGGTAGCTGCCTCGGCTCCGGTTGTGGCTCAAGCCGGGTTAGATATGGGTTCCGGAGCGGAAGTTAAGTGTCAAGTTGGATCGTGTACACATGGCGAACAGCTATTAGTGAGTTAGTGCTGACGTGCTAATGCAATGATGTAAGCTTTGGACATTCCCTCAATCTAGGTGGATAAAACCCCCCCCCCCCCCCCCCCAAAAAAAAAAAGGAAAAATGAGGGGTTGAAATATACTACTAGTTCAGAGTTGAGAGATCGTTTGGCTTTTGTGAATACAAAGGATTTGTTATTATTTCATGGAGATTTTGTTGAATGGGAAATTTTTTTTTTTGTTTTCTTCTTGAATATGGTGTTCATATTGTGCTTGGAATAAGCAATTCCTAAAGGAAAATGTGAATATCCCACCAAATCTTCTCAGTTGTCTTTCCTTTTTCATTTTTATGTTGAGTTTAAGACTAGGTTTTTGATCTATGGCAATCTTGCACGAACCTTTTACTTAGTTAAATTAATAATATTTTTATCAAAATACGAGAAATGTAATGATAAGAAAGTGTATTTAAAATGCATATTTACTGCATTCATTTGAGCATTTTATTTAATAATTTATATGATTTTTCATTTAAAAAAATTAAGTCAATGATTAATTTATATTTAATCGCAACTCCAAAATCAATTATTAAGACTTTATTTGATTTAAATCTTATAATGTCGATTAATTTAAGTTCTTTAAATTATTTGGACATTCCAATTTCAAAAACCTTCTAGAAAATAAAGTTATTATGCTGAGATTAGTTGGTGGTTACAGGAATTGTGGTCTACTTTCCACAAAGGAGAGGAACCCTTCCATTTTCAGAAATGCCTTGTTTTACCGACAGCGCGGTCCGAAGTGATCTCTGTGGCAAAAACGTATTATTTGGCAGCAATTAAAGCATGAGCGTACTAACATTCGTTCCGAAAAGGGCCAAAGGGGCGTCTTTGTCGACACACGTTTGCGTGTGGTTGCCCCCAGCCCCAGGCGAATTGAAGCTGAGACATCCAAACCAACTCCAGCTGGTTGGGCTTAGAAGCTTTTGTGTTTCCTTATCGCCAAAGAAATTAAAGCAGCATGTCCGTGTGTTCCATTTTGTTTTTTACCCAAGGCCCTTGTGAACTAATAAAAAACTGATTAAGTGATGCCAGAAGGGTCTTAATCGTTAGCGTAAAAAGGCAAAGTCGGCATGCAAAACAAATGAAAAAGTCAGTTTTTACTTATAAAATTTTAGTAAATATATTGAATAGTTCATGTTCACACACGCAGCGGTGACATGAGCAAACAGCTCATCCGGAGTTAGAAGAAATGGATCCCGTCAAACCCAAGGGACAGCGGTGGCACACGAGCGCTGTTAAACGAAATTCGCGACGATCGATGGAGGAAAGGAAGTAGCAGGTAATTCGTTTTATCTTGTCGCTTTTGACATTGAACATTGGACTTGACTATGTTGACATTTCAACGTGTTCAAATGCTTTTACATTGAATTCCATTTCGAAGTAATCCTTTGTAGTTTGTAGGGGTATTTGCTTTTCTTGGCTAAATTGCTGACCAACTAGACATATGCAATTAATGAAGTTTGGATGTGGTCAAATGAATTTTCAGTCGGCAAAGAATGCTTTTGGGGCTTTTTGCTGGGTTTCTGTTGTAGCAATGTAGCGTATAGTATGGCCATGGGAGAACCTGACATCAGCTTTGCTCACATTGGAGAAGAAATAGTTCGATGAATCACTCCTTTCCATTTGAGGATTGATTGGACGACCTCTCTTCTTGACAATTTTTACGTTTCCTCCAAATACAAGCAGCTATCTTTACTAGTAATCTCAGGATTTTTAGAGCAAGCTGGCATGTTTAACTCCAATTATTTTAAGAATGATATAAAAGAAAATTTTTAAATATTTACAAAATTTTAAATAATTTTTTATTTTTTATTACATTCAATTAATTTTTTTTTAAAAAAATTAATATACCTTTAAATTTATGTATAGAGATTCATCAGACGGGGTCAATAGGATATTGGTTAATATGCTCCCATTGAAAGCATAGGTCCCCCATATCTTTTGATTTACCACCTATTCATCAATTTCGACCTAAAGCCCGACAACTTGTACAAAAACTACCCTACAAAAAGACAACACAAATAGTTATTGTATTGATCAAAAACAAGAACATTAGGAAACAGAGTCCCACCTAAACGTTCCTTTACATCCATTCAACACGAGAAACTATGCACTCAAAACACAAAATACAGCCCCCAAAACGCCAATCTAAACCCATCCTTGGCAACCAAACTCTAAGCCACGTCCAGCACCGAAGCAAAGTCAAACAAGTGAAACCCGCAAGTATTAGACAATACCAGCTAAGCATCAATAAGACCATAAGTGTGCCTGGCACACGAGAACACTTTCGTAATAATATTAATTTAATATGATAATATAATTATGTGATATTTTTATTTTATACAATAATGTCATATTAATGTCATATGTATATAATTAATAATAATTGATTAATTATTAATTATAAAAATTTATTTGATTAAAAATAAAAATATAAAAATTTGATTAAATGTAATAAAAAATAAAAAATTTATTTAAAATTTTTAAAATAATTTAAAATTTTATTTAAACATTATGCCGTTAATTTATATATAGCAATGAATCATTTATTTGCAGTGTTTTACCATTGTCATCTGTCACTGTCAGGGAGGGAGGGTAGCTGTTGCGTGACACATTCTTTAAACCGAAATTCTTTCAAGACGACACCACGAGGATATATAAGTAGTATATTTGATCCTAATGAACACGTATTCCATCTGTCATTTGCTTCTCTCTTCACCTTGTCTTGACAAGGAATGATTACCACTCTTTACTAACTTCAAAGTCTTTTTTCACATTATAACTTGATCTCACTGATTGCAACATGTTTTGGAGGTAAGAATTTTAGAGCAGGGAGACCAAATTTTAATGATATTTTAAACGTTAATCTTTTGGAAGAGGACAGATTCATATGTTTGAACTTCTGAAGTATTCGACACATGCCAAAGTCCCTGAATAGATACATAGACTGAAAAAAGAGTGCCTTGACCCACAGCAGCAGATACATGTTAATAATTAGCACTGCAAATTATGCACTTTCACTACATTTTGCAACATTGAGAAGCGGTGCTTGCGGCTTCAACAGCAACTGCTCAATTCAAAATCGGAGGCCCAGCTGCGACTGTCCCCTGTCCCCTCGGTTATGTCTTTGTGGATCAAAAATACAGATTTATTGGATTGAGAGATCCTGAAGAGTTATATGAAATGAGGGGATTCGTGATGATGATTGGCCACTTGGAGACTATGAAAGATTGGCACCTTATAATCAAACAAGAGTGTGACAAGTGCCTCTTGCATGATTGCTCTTGTGCTGTTGCCATTTTCGATGGCATGAGCTGTTGGAAAAAGGAACTGCCACTCGAGAATGGACGAGTAAGAAACACCGGTTTCTGAAGGGTACCTTTCAAAGTAAGGAAGGAAGCTAATCCAGGTTATTGGACAGTAAACTTTGACAGAAAGAAAGAAGAATCAATTCTTTTAGGAGGAATTCTTGAAAGCTCTGTATTTGGTCCATGTCGTTTTGCTAGTGATATGGTCTTCATGTGGCACAGAAGAAACGGAGGAAGGAGTGCCCACAAGGAACTCGAAGAAGCAATGTATCAGCTCAAGGAAGAACGTGGCTGGGATTCATTTGGAATTGTTTATAATTGGGCAATTTGGCTCAAGAAAGGGAAATGGAATTTTGAACTGAGGTGAATGCAACTGGGAAAACCGGTCACAAGAATCTAGTTGGATTGCTTGGCTTCTGTGAGGAAAGGACTCATCGGCTTTTAGTCTATGAGTTCTCTCTTTGCGCTTCCCAGATCTGGATTGCCTTGAACTTTGCAAGAGGACTAGTCTACCTACATGAAGAGTGACCTACCTATAATCCGCTGTCATATTAAGCCTCATAACAGACTCCTAGACGAATATTTCACTGTAAGGATTTCTATCAGTCTGCAATTCGTACCATGATCAGGGAAACGTACCTATCAGAGCAAAAGTGGATGTTTACAGTTTTGGTGTGAGGTTATTAGAAATCATTTACCGCAGAAAAAGCGTGGTGATAGATTCATCAGAAGAAATACCAACAGATTGGGCTTATGATTGCTACGTCCAAGGAAGAGTAGATGTTGTGGCAGGTGATGCTGAGGCAACCACGACCAACAAGGTCAGGCTTCGCAAATGGGTACGATAGGGTACTTTGTGTATCCAAGATGAGATGGTGATGCAAATGCTAGAGGGCTCTGTTGAGGTCCCTTCGCCCCCATGATTGCAAGGATTGTCACGAGTACTCGCTTTATATTTTTTCATAACTACTATTTGTGTTGATAAATCTATAAAGACGTGAAAATTCGGCACACGCCATCAAAGAGTAGTAGTTTCCTCGAATGATAACCTGGTTTCTTTTTCTGATAACAATCCTTTGCAGAAATGCTATGGCCTTTTGTTGTTGCTCTGCTCCTTTGACATTAACATTGAGGTTCCAGTTGAATAATCTGTTTTTTAGGACAGACCGTTCCACTCACAAGATTGGGTTTCAATGACTAATATCCCCTGGAGACCCCTAACCAAGGCCTTCAAGCCCACGCTCACCGCCAATCCCCTTGAAATCCTCGTGGACAATTTACTTGAACACACACAACGAAGCATGAAGACAAGTATACACACTGAAATTAAAATTTGTGTCAGCAAGTCGTACTGTAGCTAGCAAAACCGAATCATCAACCACATACAACAAGCTTCTTGGCAGGCAGAGTTCTACAACCAATCATCAAATAGGGTTGTTTGCTGCCCGGTAAAAGGTCCATCTGTTTAAGCTAAGTTGCCCACATGCAAATGAAGAAAGGTATATAGAGCGATATGCTTTACTATGTCAAGTTGATTGAACATTTAAATCCAATCAGTTTGAAGGAAATTGATGCCAATACTTGCCACCTTAAAATCCAACCCCCACTTTCTTAGAAAGTGCAATAACATTGAAGTTGAGTGACTCAGGATTTTTCTGGATCATGCCCCGTATGACTTTGGCCGCATCCTGTTGTAAGAAAAAAGTTATAACAATTAGTCCGAATCAATAGTATATACTGCAAATGTTTATCACTGAGAATAAAGGAAAGTGGACAGAAAAATGTTGAATCCTGAGCATTCACATTTGACTCAGAGAGCCAGCAAAGTCCAATTGCAAGGGTGAAAAAATCATCTAATACGAACACGGTTTAAGTAACTCAGTTTAGCACAAACAAACACAAAAACAGGCACATCCATAGAGGGAGTGTGAGGTGGACTGTGAAAGCTGAAGCTGATGATTCAAACTAAAACCTATTCTACCACTTGAAAGTCTCCAAACCCCAAAGAGATATAGATGAGCTAGCTTCTTCCACTCTCAACTTGCTCAGGGCATAACAGTCAAATTACCAGAACAAAAACGTAAAAAGAAAACATTTCCCTCTACGAACATCAAACCAATTCCATTTCTTAAGAGCTAAACATTTCCTGTAAAATGTCTTTTTTAAGCCATATATGTATAAAGGAAAATCATACGAAGAAAAATAGATAATGTTTTAATTGCCAACACAAACCTGCAATAAGCTACTTGGTGAGGAAGCACCATGAGATATTGGTCCTGACTTCCTTCCATCAAGCTCATAAAGTTCCCCTACATTAATGAGAGGAAAAACAATAAAGTTCAAAGCACCAAAAACAACTACATTTATTTCAAAAAGCATCTGTGACCAAAGCATTAGAGCTTGTCTCTTCCTAGAATTTTTGCTCCTTTATATTCCGCAATGAGAGAGAAAGAGAAAATGTACCATCAACACAAGTGAAGCAGATAAAGTGAGTGTCCACATTGTCTGAAGCCTGTCAAGAAATATGGTAAAACAGGAAAAGGGAAATGGGATTAGACAAGAAAAATATTACGCATATTGCCCAAAAAAAAACTTGATATGACACATTGCCCCAAAAAACCTTGATATGCCATATTGTGCAGATCTGTATCCTACCCTACCTTCCAAATATTCAAATTATACATTAACAAAACCAAGTAGAAAAAAAAAGCCTTTTAAGAGATTTACCTCTGTTTCACCAGCTGTAGCTGCAACTGAGTGAGCCACTTCCATTTCTCTGTCTTTCTCAAGAAATGCTGCACGCTGTAGAAGCATACAACACTTAGAGTCAGCAGTGAGGAATCAAAAAACATGCAGGCAAAAACATTCACACAAACGAGCATGCAGAGAGAGAGAGAGAGATAGAGAAGTAGAACCTCCAATGCATCCATGCTTGCAGTAGATTTGAAAAACCTATCTAAAAATGATCCCTCTTCTGAAAAAAACAAGGAAACAATCATTATTGGATGTGTATTTATCGTCATTATCATTCTCCCAACAACTAATATTCCAACCAATGGCAGCATGCAAGCTAACATGTCACAATTAAACTGTCACATGTAAAAATTATCATATGGTAATAAACACACCCTGTGAACATCTTTAACATGCATATGAAAATAAGCATTAGTCAATAAATGATGAAAATTAGACCCCACTTACGAAGCTTGATTTCTGAAGTGATATTTCCAACAGAATGAAGAAGCCCAATTGTTCCACAAGCATTTCCCACGGTTTGTTTCATGAAATAAACTTTGTTGCTAGCATCCTAGAGCCAAAGCAAAAAGGAAAAAAATTTTATTAAATCATACTAAGTTATCATTTTATTGGTACCACTACAAACTACTGCAACTATTCTTTTAATTTTAGGAACTTAAAAAGGGGAATAGAAATTTTTAACTTAAACTTTGCACTCTTATAACAGTTTTTTCTTTTTTTCCATTCCATTTACTTGGTTATTCAATGAGCTCCATTATCCAATAGAGTAGTCAGTCTCATCCCCAAAGTAATTCATAATTTCAAATGCTACCCACACAAAATATACAGATGTGTGACAAGGAGGACATTTATACTACTTGAGAGATCTCTTACACCAAGAAGAGATCAAGTAATCATCAGGTAATCATAAGGCCGGACTACAAAAGTTTACACAATTTAAATTATAATTATTTTTATGGTCTAAACATTTCTAATCAATCTTGACAACAGTCTGACGCAAATCACAAAGATCTAGAATAAGATAATAGACTCAAAAAAAAAAAAAAAACCAGCATTGCGCTCACCTTCTTCTCATTTTCCTGCTGCAATCTCTGTTCTTCAGTCTGAAAACATTCAAACATAGAAACAGACAACTTGTTTTAATTATGCGTATCAGTGAAGTTAATTTTCAAGAAACTGCCCGACTAGGCAACTATAAGTGCTGGAAAGAAATAACGTCTTCAGTTGAACACACCTGAGAAGTTATTGGAAAAAGAAAAAGCACAGCAAGAACAGGTTGTGGGACCATAGCTAAGAGTTCATCCTCCAAGCCGTAAACATCGCAGCACTCTGCCTCATCAGCTGGAAGACCCAGGCCCCAAAGAAACTGCAAGAAATACCAATCATATCATGTTCAAAGGACTCAAACAAAATATTATTTCCACAGACTCACAACATCAATTTATTTCAACATTTAATATAATTCTTTTAAATTTCTAAACCCCAAAATCTCCATTCGATTGCCGGAAACTTTTTTAAGAAAAGAAAATCGATGAAAAATGTTTTCTTTCCTATTTTTCTGTCCTTTACCGATCTTTTCTCGGTAAGCAAACGACAACAAAATTTTTTTTTTTAAAAAAAGGAAAAATACCTGGTTCATGACATCGGGGTTAGCTTCGAGAGGAAGCCATCTCTTAGCAGAAGGACTTTCGTCTGGAGTTGCCATTTTGCTTTTTCGCTTTTGCTTTTGCTTTTTTCCTTTTGTTAGGGTTTTAATAATTTTGATGACAGGGCTTCGGATTTGGAGATCGGAGTGAAATGGAGAATAAGTCGGTCACTTCTCTTCCCTTGCTTTATATATAGGTTTTGGCTCGGTTTTAAATCTGATCAATAAATCCGTGAAAATGGAAAAAAAAAATATATGGAAAATTGTTTTTAACCCCACGCTGAAACTGCAAAGCCACCGCTGTAAAAACCTACAGCAAATAGTCAAAATTAAAGGCTTGGGCTCTTGATGGGCCCATATAATCCAAGTCCAAATAGTTAAATGAAAAGGCGTAGCCTCTTTCCTTCTATTGGATTGCGCGCATGACTCTTTTAATTACTCTCATTCCTTTGTTATTTTGGTACATTTTACTCCTATTCCTTGATATTTGCATTTTCATGACTCACAGCTTAGACAAAATAAATTAATTTTTTATTATTTTTAATCAAACTAACTTTTAAAATTATCAATTAGAATTATTATCAGTCAAAATAATTTTTATTATTTTAAAATTTATATAATATTAATATGACATGTTAATTTTTTATAATAAAAAATAAAAATATTACATAATCATATTATCATGTCATATTAACATATCATATCATTACTTAATTATAACAAGTTAATATACCATATTAGCATCACGTGAGATATAAAAGTTAATCAAATTTATTTAATTTAAAATAAAATATAAAATTTTATTTAAACACAATAAAAATATAAAATTTAATTTAACTTTTTTTGAATAATTCAAGATTGTTTTAAGTATTATGCTAACAAAATATTAAATTAACACAAATACCGACATGCCCTCGCTGAACTGTGCTTCTTCCTGTTCACAAAGCTAACCAATATGCGACCATAAAAATATAATTCAGAAAGAAAACAAACCCATGAAACGATAATTTCCCACACGATAGTCTGCAAATGATATTCAAGCACAAGAAAAGTAATTAATCCAACAATGAAAGAGCATAGAAAAAGCAAGGGGAAAAGAACGGCACTAGCCAAGGGATGGTGTTTTGTGGTTAAGCTATTTGGATTCCAAAAAGCTTAACCCCATTTTTTCTCTCAACTCCACTGATTCCATCAACATGTGCACCATTGTCAATAATGTTGGGTTGTGCACCAATTCCTTGTTCTGCATCCCTGCCAACAATGTAACTTGCTGCATCATTCCGATGTATATCGATCATGTAAAAGTTTCTGCTCTGTCCTTCCTCTACAAAGGCACATCCATAAAACATGATAGTGTCTGCAATATTCAGGTTATTCATTGCAACAAAGTGTCTCCAGCCCTTTGTAAACAGGAAGGTCTTGGTGCTACACCAATATGAATAGCGGAAAGTCCAAGGACGGTAAAATTTGTCGTAGAAAGTTAGATCAACCGAGTCATTTCTCATTTGACCTCCATCTGAGCTGTTGTCAAGTGGGGGCAAGTACTGCAATGCATATTCCTTGGGGATGTGAAAGCCTTTGATTTGAGAAACATCTGTCTGTGTCAGCTTCTTATGAAATAACAACTGATGTGAAATTCCCTTAGCGTTTATTAGGCAGCCAGACATACGTCTCCTTACAAGAGATTCCCGTCCAAGGAAACTGATCAAGTTAGATGTGTATGTCTTGTCCTTGATCATACTCAGGATCTCCTCATTTGAGTACGAACTCTGGAATAATTTCTCCTGAGCTGTGTAAATCTTCCAGGGGAAGTTAAGGGGAGAGTCACTTCTCTGCAACTTGAGGGCTGCTCTATCATAAGCAATAGCTGCCTCCTCTTCCACTTGATATGTCCCAAGCCAGTATGCCCTGTACTTGAGGGAGATCCGAGCACCCCATTTACTATTATTAAGTGCGAGTACCCCTCTGAATCTTGAGGAAATCCTGCCACTGCTGCAGCTGCTTCTCATTCTGTACTGTGAGGTCTTCCGACATGGGATAATTTTGTTTGAGTCAGAACTTCCTACCATGCCTTTTCTTTGAGTCAGATCTGACTCCCTCTTTGAAATGAAAAGACTAAGAGACAAGGCTTGATGGTGAAAAACCCTTAGGCCGCTGCCGTTAATAAGGAGAAATCACTTACATGAATAGCAACTTACAAGTCCAACACGCAAAAAGGTCAGTTATGGTAACTGCAGACAAGAAAACTCATCAAAGGTGATTTTGTTATGGTATCTATCACTGCCTTCCTTAAAATGAACTTCAGATATTAACAAGAATGGAAAGTACAAAACATCAATTTGGTCAGAGTAAGTTTCACAAAAAGTTGAGACTGTATTTCTAAAATGATCTTTACACGGAAGAGTTATCACAAGCTTATCACTGAACTGTCCTTGGCTTTTGCAGTATTGACAAAATAAATTAAGGAGCCATCCATGCAACTAGAATCCTTACTCTAAATGTCACCTGAATCAGCTCGTGCATGTGTCATTATCAAACTTCTCATCCAGAGAACAAAGGACACAGTTGCTACCTTATGACTTGTAGGCTTTAATTCTTGAAGCCAAAGTTGGTGCCATACTACAAACACGACAATTTCGTAAACTACCTTTATGATGAAAGCAAAAAATACCTTACCTAGCATAATGTGACAAAACATTAGCTGGAAATTCAGGAACATCATAAGCTGATTACCTTCTTTGGTAACAACACGAGTTGTCGATAGTAAAGGCTCTTAAATTATATTCCTCTCTTCTAATTTGGGAACAAACATGTTTTCATTAATCTACTTGCCTGTAATGTTAAAACACATTATTTGGATTTGTCAGACTTCAAACATTGCCATATTGACTTCTATAGGATCATCTGCAGCATTCATCAATATCCCAGTCAATTGCACACTATGCCAAACTCAATTTCTTGTTTAAAATACTAGTAGTACTATTTATAATAAGGCTGTATACGCAATTAATACAATTATAAACTGAGTCATTTGATGTCATAGCAGCAGCTATGGAATAGACAATGGATAAACTCACTCAAGGAAAATACTAGTTCATAGTCATCTTAAACCTTTTTTCTGCAAAATTTTTAAAGTAAATAAGTGGATAATATCCTTTGTCTTATTGAAACAAGAATCAATAAGTAGTTGCAATTAGGTTTGTCCAAGTGAGAGATGATTGCAGAACTATTTTAAGCTTGCTTTTCCAGAGGTCCACAATAGTAAACGTTTCCACAAATAGGATGCTCAATCTCAAATCAGGATAAGAAAATTTATGCCTCCCTGGGACTCTAAAGCTTTTGACTGAGATTTTTACTACTTACATCTATGTTTCCAAAAAAAAAAAAAATAGGGGTTGGAAAAGTGAGGATTTAGAACTCCGAAACAGCTTCCTACATGATCGAGGCTGCTTATCACACCGAATATTCATACCACAATGGAATTGACTTTCAGACACAAGGTTTATGTAATTTATTTGTCATTTTAATTACTATAAAGAGTTCATCCAACATACAGACTTCTGAAAGGACCCAAATTTAAAACAAAATGATAACTGTCATCCATAATAAACCTGTTGGAAGCTGTTATTAAGTAAGATTCTGAGTCTTTCTTATTCACCATTATATCTTGGCTTCCGCTTCTCAGCAAATGCTGCTAAGCCTTCCAAGCGATCTTTTGTATTTAAAAGCCGTTCATAGCACTCTTCTTCCAAATCCAAAGCCGAGGTCATATCTCTCTCAAGCCCCTCATTTATAGCCCTCTTTGCCATCCTTATTGCTATTGGACCCTGTTAAGAATATGTCCATTTGAATGTTCAAGAATTTGTATAAAGTCACAAACAATTCTTTTTCCAATACAATGACTTCTTTGTTACATTAAGTTATGAGGTCAGCATTATCAATGAACACACTACATATTTGGTAATCAAAGAATCAGGAGATGCTCCTTCACTCTTTGAAATAAAAACAAGGGCAATTAGTGGAACAAAATTAGAGTATCAACAATCTAGCAACAGCATAAAAACAATAAAATCTTCAATGCTATAACAGATTATAGTTGCAGCCCTTGCATTTCTGATTAAGCTTAACTAACATTCATGGATGGTTAATTTGAATGAACTTACAGAAGAATATATCACATGAAGTTCCAAGCAAGAAAACTTTTGAGGATCCATAGATTTTACCTTCTGATTTATGTCCCGAGCAATTTCTAAAGCTTTGGGATGAGCTTCACCAGCAGGAACACAGCAGTTGACAAGACCTGCAATACCACAGACCTTGTTCAGTATTTGAGCGGGACAGGTCGAAAACAAGGGGAAAAAATGCAGCTTGTTGGTATGCATACCCATAGACATTGCATCCCTGCCACCAATTCTCCGAGCAGTAAATATAAGTTCCTTTGCTATTGATTTTCCAACCAATCTAGGAAGTCTTTGAGTCCCACCTGCACTGTTAAACATAGGGCCAATGAGTTATCACCTTTACAGATTTTAACAAACAAGAACAAAAACACTGGATCAAGTAATAGATATAATGTAGAAAACTGAAACAAGATAAGCATATACCCAGGAATTATGGCAAGTCCTGTTTCAGGCAAGCCCAATATTGCATTTTCCCCTAAGCAATTTTAGAGAAAAAGCCATTAAAAACAATTATAAGGAAAAAAATTATAAAAACCATGTAACAGAAAACAGTTTAGAAGCAAATAAAGCTAATTATGAAATGATTACAAATATAAAACTACCGCAGATCCTAAGATCGCATGACAGAGCCATTTCAAGTCCTCCACCCAGCGCTGCACCCTCAATAACAGCAATAGTAGGAATTTGAAGTTCCTGAACTAAATAAATAGTAGTCCATGTGAGCACCCAATCTAAATGAAGGTCATTGCAAAGCATGATGCAAAAACTATAACAGCATTAGTTAAGAAGAACATTTTTGAAAATGTCGCGGCATTTATCCAGTTAATGGTAAAATGTGTTAATCTCGCAAGCAACACTTTATGCAAAAATGTTAAATGATTAAACCCCAGACCCTGCTTTAGGAAGAACAATATTTGGGAAACAAGACAATTTGCTTCTAAGAGCACATCAAGAACACCCAAGATATACTTGTGTATTTCAATGCTTTAAAATGTGTATATTTGTAGTTAGTTTAAGTGTTACTTACAATGTATGATGCTCATAAAATTTCAATATCCATGTGACAACAAGACAATCAACCATCATACAACACGTTGGTGTAAAATAAGGACTAACCTCTATTAATGAGAAAGTGGATCGCAAGTAGTTGACATATGAATGAACCTCAGAAGCAGTCATTTTCTTTCGTTCCTGCCAATCAAAGGGCAAACTACAAGATTAACATCTGAAACTCACAATATCTTAACGCAAGCTTAACCCTTTAATATCGTTTCCAAGCAGGAAATTTCCTCGTCATTACTTCCAGTAACCATACTATCAGTTGAAATGAAGTAAAAAATTTTCACTTTTTAAAAACATTTAGCGCTTTTTAACTTTCAGAAGCCAAAAAAAAGGAAGCGAATACCTTTAAATCCGCGCCAGCGCAGAAAACAGTGGGAACTGAGCTAGAGATCAAAACTACATGAGCAGAGGAATCTCCATCGATAGCTTCGAAGGCCTGGCGCAAGCCTCTCAACATATCGTTCCCAATTGCATTTCTGGCTCCAGGCCTATCCAAATTAACCTCAACAATTCCTGTTCGTCGCACTCAGCTTTTAAGATTACTTAAACACGACAGAAAAATAAGTTAAAACTGGAGAATTTCTTGAAAGGTAAAAAATTATACCGGAATCGGAGTCGGGGAGGCGGTGGAGCTTGACAGATTCGGATAAAGAGGGTTCCAAAATCAGAGTTCTGAGTATTTGGAATTGGCACTGAGAGTGATTAGAAGGAAATTTGTGAGGAAAGATGGAAGGTTTCAATCTTTTCGCGCAGTGTTGCCCCAGCGATTTGGTTAGTGCGGTTACTACTGCCATTTTTCTTTTCTTTTTTTGTGCAGGAGTTGAAATTGAATAATTACAGAGAGGCAGAGAAACGGTGTTTTGATTTTTCTTCTTTCAATTATCAGCGGGAGACCGGGGGAGATTCGTCAATCGACTCCCTCGGTCTGACTATCCGTAGTCAATGATACGTCATGCCCGTGAAACGCACCGTTCATCTCAATACATTGATGATAAAATAATATTATTGTATTATTTATTTTTAGCATTGTTAAGTTGATGCATAACAAAATAATATTTTTTGGTAGAAAATAAAAGAATTAATAAGATCAAAAGTTATAATTCCTAAGAGAAGTTTGAGTATATAAATATTCTGATTATTTAATTTTATGTACACGTAATTCAATCATTTAAAGAGTGAATAGAGAATAATGGAAGCGTTGTAATTGGAAATTGGAATGCCTTTGGTTTGATTAGGAATATGCCCGAACAAGGTAATTTTCAGTTTCTGAACATAAGGGAGTTCAGGTTGAAAAGTAGATGACAGAGGATCTTCCATGGCATGCGACGAGAAGATTTCTGCAAATGAGGCCTTTTTCGCAGGGTCACACCCTGCGAATCCATTGCTCAAGCCGAAGCTGCTTCAAAGGAGGGCCACGGTGAGGCTTGCTTTTCTGTGGACAACGCCATTTTCCAGTGATCTCCATTGCCTCACAGCGTTGAACATTGGTTGTTTCTGCCAACACCTTTCTTTTCACGACAGCACCCCTTTCACCGCCTGCTATATTACTACTTTTGTTTCTTGAACACTGTAACACAACCTCTCCCCTTTCTCCCAGAGAATTTTCATCATTTCTTCTTGTAAACTTGTTCTTGCTTGTAGTGATAAAACCATCTTCTGCAATGTCTTTTCCTTCATTCTCTTTGTCATTGCTTCCATGGGTTGGTTTTCTCCGATTACCTCCACTGACCTGATCGAAATCCTGACTCTGATCATGTGATGCAAGATCAACTTTAGTAACTGAGCTCTTTTTTGTGCTACCCGTCCTATTAATCAACTTCTTTGAAGATTTTCGATCATTTTCGCCTGCACTTCTGCTGATATCTGTCGATTGAGAATCAGCTTTCTCAAGTTTAGATAGGAAATCTCCACCATTAAAGCCTGAGTTTTCAACACCTTTGTTTGAATCGATGCTGCTACCTCGCACTTGTTTGACTTCCAAGATTGGATCCAAGATCTTCTCAAAACACAAATCACCCTTCCAAGTAAGGTTTTCCTTTCCTCCAGCGTAGTGCAAATCCTGTAATACCAACTGGACAAGATAAATAGAGCCATATACAGATATCCTCCTGCATCCTTGAGTAAAAGGACTATTCCGCAACACTGAATAGTAAATAACTACACTCAAGAATCTCAAACATTGGGTCATAGAACCACTTTTAGCTACACAGAAGATGAGAATTGAGGTCATAATCCCGTTCCTTTCTTAAGGCCTCAGAACAGAAATTGATATGATTATTTAAGAAAGTTTAAGAGATCAAAATGGGAAAAGAGAGGGAAACGCACAGGGACATGGAAAGAATACCTTACTAATAGACATATTTTCTTGCTCATCATTTCTTAGGGAGCTGTTGCATTTCCTAAACTCATTTGCCCACATCTTCTTAACAACAACCATTTCATTTCTATGTCTAGTTTTTGTTGTTGTGTCGAATTTCCCTTGTTTCTCTCTCTTCCTCTCCTCAACGGTAAATTCATCCTCATTAGGTTCTTTTTTTTCGGAAAGAATATCTCTAAATTCATCACTTGTATCCAAGACAGGAGACTCGTACACATAGTCTGAGAACCAAAATCCCAAATCCGGAGGTCCTGACAGAAGAAACACAAGCAATCATCACTACTCCTTTACTTGGATTAGATATTCACATGCCTCATTTGATGACTGAAAAACAATAAAAAAAGAGAATGGTGTTCCATATGTTCTTTGTTTCCCCCAAGATTTCCTAACCAGTTAAACAACTATAAAGTTCTTGGTGAAAATTTAAGAATTTAGAAGTGACACTAACCCGAAAAGAGAGAGTGTGATTCATTCTTCCTATCTACTAAAGAACTACTGCATTTGACCAATTTAGTTGAGCATATTTTCTCAGAGGCATCTGGTTTGCAAGTGCTTCCCGTTTCTTGACCCAAATTTGCTGCTTCATCTTCGATGCTTTGTCCAATGGCAAGTTCATCTTTCTCACATTCACTTTCTCCAGAAACATAACTTCTAAAACCATCACTCGTATCCAACAAAGGAGATTCATACACATAGCTCGAATACCAGTTTCTGATGTCAGGAGGTTCTGAAAGGACATGAAAACACAAACAAATTTCACTCCATCTTTACATGCTTAAATTAAGCATTGTATCCAACTCCTAGTCTTAATTTCCTTCCCTAAAGTTTTTCAACAACTGGACACAATTTAGACCTAGTAAAATCTCAAAAAGGGAAAAAGTGACACATACCAGAAAGGATTGAAGGGGAGTGAAGAGTATCCTGAACCTAGCAAAAAATAAAAACTTGTTAGATATAAAAAAACTTTGAGCTCTACACTACCTTAAATTCTCATGAATTATTCAAAAAATTATACAATGAAGGGCTAAAGAAACATACTATTCAACAAAACCGCAGATTCCCAGAATGCCTAAAATAGAAAATCAACAAATGGAAAATACCTCATTAGAATTCAAGTTCCCATGTTCATCAGCATTTCTAATTTCTCCAGACCCGTTAAAGTTCTCTTCTTTTTCTCTGTTAATTTCTCCAATCACCAATTCATCTTTGTCACTTTCCCTTTCTTCTGAAAATGTTCCTCCGAAATTTTCGCATGTATCCAAGACAAAAGACTCGTACTTGTAACTTGAATACCAGTTCCGTATATCAGGAGGCTCTGATTTAAAATAATAATAATAATAAATTTTCTCATACTTGAATGAAATTAAATCTTTAAAAAATTCTAAATTCAAGTTTGGAGATAAGAAAAACTAACCAGAAGGAATGGAGCATGACGAACCCGAAATCTACGATAAGAAATAAATAAATAAACAATGGGTTAGAAAAATGGATTTCACACGAAAAAAGAATAGTTAACTTTTGGAATTTTACAATACCCAGTAAGAGAGAAACTTGTTGCTACAATACCCAGTATTCCAATTATTTTTCCTACACTTTCTCTTGAACCAAACGGAAAATAGGTTTCGCTACGATTGGAAATTTAGGAAATTGGTTGAAAATAAAATTCATCCATACCTCAGATTTAAAATCCTCCATTAAAACTCTCTTTCCTTCTGTCTTTATTGAAAAGAAGCAAAGCCTAATAAGTAAAGGTTTTTTTGTTCTTTCATTTTCAAATTTCCCGGGATTTTACTTTGGCGCCTCATCTACTAAGTCGCTGTTTGATCCTCGTATAAATGTACCATAGATTTTAGACTAACCACTCAACGCAGTATCTTTGTTCAAATGTATTTGATTTTGACCGGTAACCAAACATGCCCTTTCTATTTTACCGAAAAAACGTGCGAAATTTGCAATCGATTTAACCTCTTTTCAAATATTGAGTTTACAAATTTCTAAAAGGTAGTATTATATTTTTGAAAATTACAAAATTTTTGGTTTGAAAAAATATAAAGACTCATCTTTTACTTAAGGATGTAAATGAGTATCGTATAGTTATTTTAAGACACTTCAATTCGAATTTTATTATTAAATAAGAAATTCGAATGTCATAAATATCTTATTAAAATTTTAAATTGTAATTCAAACTTGTGTTTAAATATCTTACATACTGTCCATTATATTTAATTAAAATTAATTTTTATTATAATTAAAAATTAATTTCATAAATTAAAATTAGTTCATAAAAATAAATTAAATTTTAACATAAAAAAATTATTTATAATCAAGTTAAGGTACTAAGTACATAATATCACAATCCGAACTAGATTATAAAATATATTAATCTTACTTAATTGGGTATGATAACAAGTTGGGTAATACAAGGTAACCCATCATAAAATACTCACTAACATTTTTACTTTTATAGTAAAACCTCTATAAATTAATACTCTTGAGACTATGAAAATTTATTAATTAATTGAGATATTATTTACTTGATAAATTAATAATTTGTTAATTTATATATTAATTAATAAAAAATTAATTTATTAAGATATTTTTTATTTTTTTCAAAATATTGAATTTAATACATATATTCCATATTATAATTATATAAATATTACTTCATTACGAATTATTATTATTCTATATATTTATTTAACTAAAATAATTTATGAATGTAATTAATCTTATTAAATAGAAATTGTAAATCTATCCATTTTTACAACAAACTAAAATTAAATCTGATGTATACTTGATTGATGTACTCATGAACATTATATTAAGTAAAATATCTACAAAAAAAAATACAATATCACAAACAGTAAACTAAACACAATAACTTTTTATCTTAAAGTTGTAAAGAAATCAACAATAACAAAAAAAATGTATAAATTATTATATAAATACAACATAAAAGATTTAAAGTGCACCCAAAATCAATTGCAATAGTAGATATAAAAAAAGTTTAACTTGCAAGTGAGCTAAATAATAATATCAAATATAATCAAGAGGTTGTCAGAGCATTTATCAAGCAATAACAAATTTCTCTTATAATACAATAATACTATACCAGAGCTTCTTAATGTATTAAAAAAAGTTAGAAATGAGGTCCAATGAGACATTAATTTCAAAAATAAACAAATAATATTAGAGTCATATTTTACAGAGGTCTCCTAATCGAGTCAAGTATATATATAATTTTTATGTATAAGGAGATTATTAATTTATATATCAAAAAAGATTTATACGTTTTTTTTAAATGTATTATCTTATAAATTTGGCAAATGATTGTCTCAAGTGGAAATCTACAAAAAATATTATTTAATAAAAGATTATTAATTTATTGAGTGTTAATTTATTGATATTTTATTATACTTCCAAAAGATATACGAAGTAAATATCATAACCAAATGTTGGTTTTTTTTTTTTTTACAAAAGAAAAATGTTGCTTAATTGTTCTAATTTTCACTTCTTTGTAATAATTTGAACAATAAGAAAATCGCCATTACCAAACACTAATTATCTGGATTGATTACATGACTTTATTTATACAAAAGCATGTCAACGGGAAAATGACACATGATCTATGGCATACATCATATATACCATTTGAAAAAAATAAATTAGAAAAATATAAAACATAATATTTGAAAAACAAATTGAACAATTTAAATAATTCAAATAAATTTTTGTTCTTCTATTGCATTCAATCAAGCGTATATATTTTATTTTTAATCAAATAAACCCTTATAACTTATGATTGATTAATAGTCATTAATTAAAATAACACTTTAATATTTTATATCCAATGTTGATATGGTGTGGATGTGGATGATAAAAAAGTCACATGATCATATAATTATACTAAATCAGTATGTCATATCATCATCAATTATAATATGTCATTATATCACGTTGATGTCATGTGATATTGAATGATAAATAACATTTTGACTAATAAGAATTAATTAAACATTGGTTAAAAGAGCTTGTTTGATTTAAAAAATATATAAAAATTCGATTTAAGCTAATAAAAGAATGAAAATTTATTTAAATTTTCTTAAATAATTCAAAGACTTTCTTTAGATCTTATGTCAAAATTTTTTTTTTCGAACTTAAGACATTTGAAGTTGACCTTTTAGGTCATCTAGGATTCTACAACATTTTAGGTCTATTGTAAGTTGAATTTGACTTATCACTTTTTAAATCAATTTAAATTGGTAGGGCAAATTTTTGAAATTTTAATAAATTTGTACTTCATTTTATTTGCATGGGGATAATAATCGGTTTAGGTTTAGATAATTTACTTCACTTTTGATTATGTACTTTTCCATAACTTTTTGTTGGGATGATCAATGTTTGAAGCATATCAGCCAAGGCAACTCAAGGTTTGCCATCTCATAAACTTTTTATAATGCAAAATCACATATAATTTTCATTTTCAACCTTAAAAGTTCTGATGTTTTCTCTATTAAAAATAAAGAATTAAAATATATTATTTAAAAAAATAAAAAAATTCAAATTCCAAACAAGTCTTTTAGTCAAAGCAATTTTAAGGTGTCAAAAGATGGTTTTCACCAAACCCCACTACCTACTACAATGAAACATCTATTGAAAAATTCTAACTTTTCCATACATGGGAAGTTTTTTCCATACATGGGAAGTTTATTATAGCAACAAATTTAATGATAATTCCATAGTTGGCAAAAAAAATAGATTCCAACTGTCTAATACCATATTTCAAATATAAAATAAATGAAAAACAGAATAGTTCATATATAATTAGAAGAAAAGCCAAAAAAATTGAATTCACTTCCATATTAGTAGAATTTTCCCAATTGTAGGCTAAATTAAGAAAAAAATCTTAAATGTATACCGCCTATAGCCAGAATGCCTTTTTTTTTTGCTCTTTTCTTAATAATTTATACTTATCTGTAGTGGGCGATATTTTCTATAAAGCCGGTGAATCGTCTTAAGAAAATTATCAGAACAAATATTACTTTGAAATTTCTCTCGACCATTTCACAGAGTTAAACACTGTGCGAGATATAGTTGCATGCAGTGTGGCACTACTCCCTCATGTTAGCCTAAGCAGCTTCATAGTTTTGGCTGATCCGTGGTAACCTTTCTAAACCCTAAATAATTTGTTTCGATAAAGCGTTTTCTGAATTTTTGAATATATGCAATTTTATCATTTTCGTCAAATATAGTCGATATCTGTTTTCAAATATATTTGTTACTAACAAATTTTCGTTGTGTCTCGAACTGTTCGAGGAAGTTACCGATCGTTTATCTTAATCGCCGGACACGGACGTTTAAAGAGAATCAAGTGCATATTCAAAAGCAAGAATTATTTTCAAAGAAATTGTAGGTAATACTCTTTTGCTTTCACAATTAAAATGAAATTTATTATTACTTGTTTAACTCACCATGCTGAAGGGTTTATGGTCTTTATGAATAAAGCTTAAGGATCTAAATGTGTATCTCCAAAATTGAATAGATCTAGTCATGGTTGGTGTTCCAAGCCCCCCAAAAAAACGAAAATTAAAAGGAAAGAAGCGCTTATATTTTGGTAGTAATGCCATTTTAGACAAAAGTTTTATGTTTATATTCTATATATATTTTTGATATTTTTCTATTTTCCAATCTTGAACTTCTCTATTTAAACTTTTAGCATCAACTGTTTTTTCTTGTTCTTTGTAATACAGTTTTAATCAATAAATATTTTATTTTTTTTTTTATAACTTCCCATCGGATTAGTTGTTATCATATCTTCATGGACTTACCATTTAGAAGTCAAAGGTACTTTTGGATCTTAAGTTGTTTTTAATTAAATATTAATCTACAAACATAGGGTAAAAAAAAGATTTAAAAGATTTCAAAATTTTATGTTTTCTGGTAAAGAGAAAATTAAATTGATTGTAAAATTTTCTATTGATTTAAAAGTATGATCATTCAATACAAGATGAGGCTGGTTATAAAATGGGCAGGGCTTAAGGGTCCAGAAGTAGTTAATACAGCACTAGCTTACAAATTGCAAAGTGAAAAGCATGCTGTGTTTTATGTTTTTACAAAGATATTTGAGATTTGTTTCATGAGTGCTATAAATTAATAACATCTAAGTGAAGAAGAAAAACTAATTCCGGAAATAAATTTGGAAATGGAAACAGATCAAGCATCATAATAACAATGGGACAAACTTGAATTTGGTACTTTATTTGCAATTGTTCTCATGGTTGCTATTTGCAGCCAAGTTGCCTTCATTTCAGTTTCAGGTACAGAAACAGGTTATCGGAGCAATTGCATGGACTTGGAAAGCTCAATGGCTTATAACTTGAGGAAAAGGGACTTTCTGAATAAAAAGATTCCTAATTTGGGATCGACAAGCGGTTCGGATAATGAAAGCAATGATTCTACTCATTCTGACCCCGACTATGGGAAGCCTATGCCTGCAAGGAACAATGGCAGACCATCTGGTGCAATACAGAGGGGTGGTGGTATCCGAATAGGAGATACTGCGCCTGCAAGTTCCAGCAAGCATGCTGCGACCACGCAGAAAAGGCGGCCAGGGCGGCCCCCAAAGGCAAAGGCCAATGGGGCAGAAGACAGGCTAGGCAACATAGAGGAGAGATGTACGAGGAGGAAAAGAAAGAATATCTCGCAGTCGCCTGTAGGATGCATATATAAGAGAACTGTATTGGCTTGGTTGATAAGCTTGGGTATAGTTGGACAACATCAAAAAGTCTCGTACGTTGATGAGGATTCTGGACGTATATTGGCAGGAGGCAAAATCAGAGCGGAGGGCATTGTATGTGACTGTTGTTCTCGTGTGATTACAGTAGGAGACTTTGAGATCCATGCCGGACGTGACACCAAAAAGCCCTACCAGCATATATTTTTGGCATCGTCACAGATTTCCTTGTTGGAATGCCAAATAGAAGCATGGGTAGATAGGAAGGAAGAAGGAAATCGTGCATACAACAACGTACAGCCTGCACCAGAAGCTACTGACAAAAGTGATGATGCCTGTATGGTTTGTGCTGATGGAGGGAACTTGGTTTGCTGTGAAAGATGTCCCTCAACGTGTCATTCGAGCTGCATTTTCGTGGGGGTAAGAAGGATTTGATTTATATGGTATTTCATTATATTCTAGTAATTAATTGTATGTTTTTGAAATTGGGACAGGACAACATTTCCGGAGATGAATGGCTGTGTCCATATTGTGTCTGCAAATACTGTGCCCGCGGGGATGGCACTTTAAAGAAGTGTACCCATTGCGAAAAACAATGTATGTAGTACTTTTTAACCCAATGCTATGAAGGAAATTCAATCTGCTCCCTGTTTAACATGATTTCCTGTCAAGTCACAACTCTACAGCTATTCCTGCTTCATAACTTGAGAAAACCAATTTACAGATCATTGCAAGTGTGGAGGAGAAAAGCTGGACCTGAATTCTCCGACCTCCTTGTTCTGTGGAGACAGTTGCAAGCAGGTATTGTCCTCAATTTAAAAGCTACAGATTTTTCTCCATCATTTTTGGAAGCCTTGATATTGGAAAAAGCAACTGACTTTGAAGTTTACAAAAGATATATGAAGGGTTACAAAGCATGCTTGGAGTTAGAAATGATCTTGTCGGTGGCCTTTCTTGGACTCTACTCCAGCGGACAGAGCCGATATTCACTGCCCATGCAGGTGTTGATTACAACAAGGTAGTGGTCAACTCTAAGATTGCTGTCGCCTGGATGGTCATGAACGAATGTTTCGTGTCATCCATAGACCGCTATTCAAAAGCCAATGTTGTGCAAAGTATTGTCTACAATATTGGGTAATGATCAGTTCGAAGCCTTTACTTTCAATCTCTTTGAGAAACTCTTTAAAGAAGTTCTTACCCTCCCATTGAATTACGCAATGGCTTTCAGGTCCAACTTGACGCGTCTTAATTTTAGTGGCTTTTATACTGCTGTCCTGGAAAAGAATGACGAAATCATCTGTGCTGCAAGCGTAAGGTATTTCTCAATTCTCATCCAATGAAATCTATGCATGTCTGATAGCGTTTGCACACGTGCCTTTAACATGCCATTCCAGTTAACTTCACTCAATGCTTTCCAGGGTGCATGGAAAAAGGTTGGCTGAGATGCCCTTCATCGGAACCCGTAGAGAATTCAGGCGTCGAGGGGTGGCTCGCACCCTGGAAAATTGCGTTGAATCTGTAAGCATAGATTATTTTGCGAAATTGAACGATTTCCATCCCATCAGTGCTTGAGTATGATATGCTAAGTAATAGTCATATATCTGTATATGCTGCTTGAAACATGTCGTAATGCTGATGGATACACTTGATCTTCAGGTCCTTTGCGATCTAAAAGTTGAGAAGCTGGTGATTCCATCTCTCCAACAACTTACTGGCATGTGGACGGAGAAGTATCTTTTCTCCAACATCGAGGAGGACCGCTTGAAAATGGAGCTCAGCCAGTACAATACTGTGACGTTCCCAAGTTCAGTCGTGAGACTGCAGAAGACCTTGTCGACGCTTCCTGACTTGAACGGTGGTCCTTCTCCTTCCGAAACCAATGAAGGTTCATTGAATGCCATTTAAAAGTTATCTTCAGCAATCAGAATCACAGTGTTTGTTTCAACGCAGTTTCTAGTCATGCTGTACACATGGGGTTGTTGCTTATACTAGTTGCAGGCTTGCAGACCTTTCCCCCTTTATCGCTTTCTGGATTTCTCATAAATATTTTATGAATGGATTGTTTGCCTAGTCAATATGATATATTTGTTGGTTTTTCTCTCTCTTTCTCAGAAAAGTGAAACTAATTTTAATCCTTTCGGGTCTTTCTTTTATGAACCCAAGCCCCAGTATTCATTGAATGTTACAACCCTGGAGAAGAAAGATTTCACTTCTCCGGAGAAAGAATATCCTTTTTTCTTTTTGGAAAATTATAAGAAGATTATCATTGAAGAGCAGGGAAATTATTTTTCCCCTTTGCAAGAGATATGTCGAGCAACCAGGCAGAACAACAAGGATATTGGTTGGTATGCCCTTAACCTGTAAATCAGTATACACTCCCAATACCCCTGTCCCAAAACAACTACAGCTCCTCTCTTCGCTCTGACCGAGAAAGAATATCTAAGGACCGATTGCTGGCCAGATAAAAAGAATGGTGAATGGAAAATTAGGAATAAACCAGAACTGCATAAATTAGGATGTAAGTTTTCAACCTTGGACTTGATCATTGATCATCATGAAAACGCTGCGACCCAAATTGCTTGGCTGACTCCAACACAACAAGGGACTCATAATATTGGTAAGGGTGGATATTAGCAAGCCCCAGGAGAACCAGGCAACCAGGAAAAATCCCATAAAGAGACTCATCACTGACGTGCTTAACTGTCGCGAGAGGACTTGGAAAAGACAATGAGTCAGTACTTTTACTTTAACAAATATGTTGTTTTGTAATTAAGAAAATTTGGTGTTAATATGAAAATAATTAAATAATTAGTTGGTATCATATTGATTAATAAATTTTTATTTTAATAAATGGAAATTAAACATACGAGATTAATTTGTTGTTTTTAATTATTTCAATTTAAAATTTAAATTACACAGTGAAATTAGATTTAGCCATTGCTGGCTGCACAGGGAAGACCGGTTGAGGAAGGACAGATTCTTTATGGTCTTTATTAAGTTAAAAACTTGCTTTGGGCAAATTCAAGAAGAAAAAAACATATACTCAGAGCAAGAACAAAGAGACTGACAGTCAACTTCTTTATGTTAAAAAGGTGAAACCTAAGGCCAGTGTTGAATAAGGTATTGCCATTACAACAATGAGAAAGAATATTTAAGAACCAATTCTGGCCAAATTGTGATAGAAAGAATGGAAAAGGAATGAATGGGATGATCAGGAGAAAAAAACAGTGTGCATACACTGTATCATCTCTAAACCCTGATGCTGAAGTTGAGTAAAAATTGTTCATTTCAGCTTTTCATAGCATCCAATCCCTCATTTTGGCATCTTTGAAGTATAATGCTACAGTTGTTCATTGCGCCCGCATCAAGAAGACCATGATTCCAAAGTTTGATCATGAACAACCTCCAACACCTGAACCGGAAAGCATGTGACACTTCAAATACATATATAAATGATCACAATGACTTGCAATTATTTTTAATTAGAGAAGACATTTCAAACACAGTTTTACGATTTTTACAAGTATCAAACTTGCAGTATTCTGGAACGAGATTTTGGATGGAATATAGGTTATAAAAGCGGTTCACAAGGGATTGCCATGTATACCCTTTTATAAGTTGATTAACTACTTATAAATTAATTGAAACACTTCAGTATGTTAAATTCTGGGTGGGGTTGGGCTGTTTACAGTTGGTTTTTTATCACCTCTATCTACCATGGCCCATAAATTGTCAACTCAAAGGAAATAACTCAATGAAGTGGCTATCACTATTGATGGCAAAATACAACTTAGCAGTCAAAAAACATGAACTTGTAGAGAAATGGGTAAGAATATTTCAAGAACATTACCAAAAGAGAGCAGGTGATTGCACCAACTCCTGCCCATGGAGTTTTGAGAAAGCCTCACATGCCCAAGGAACATGACCATCAGCCAGAACCCTGTCCAATGAATCAAGAGACCTTTTAATAAGTGTCGCACCTCAAGTACTAAAATCTTCTTATAACTTCTTGACATACAACAATTGGAGGAAACGAATTAGTAAAAATAAGGGGAAAAACAGTTAATGATAACCATGAATTCAATCGGCAAGAAGAAAAGAAAAGAAAGCTTGAAGTGTTAAGCACAGGCTACCTTTGCTTTCTAACAAACGAGTTCCAAAGATGCATGAGCTGCTTCTCATCTTTGCTAACATCCACAAAATCATCAAGCATCTGTCACATATGGGTTTTATGTTATCCTCTCACTTCTCAAAAGTATAGTAACCAGAACATCTGATCAAAGATGCAACTTGAGCTAGGATCGTAGCCCAATTGAGTTGAAGTCCAATCAAACATAATACACATCATTCTAAACCACAATTTCTCACCTTCAAAAAACCAGACTATCATCAATCAAGCAAATGGTAAATAAACAAGCAGGTGTTCTCCTAGTTACTCTGGTCACTGTTGTTATATACTTATATTTATAGTGATGAACAAAGTATTGCTTGTACAATAGAAGCAAACAGTAAGCAACCTACTATTAGTTGAGACAAATGAAGAGAACTGATTGTCTGACCCATCCCATCACTATTTGTTTAATGCCTTACTTTCCTCTGACAACTGATAATTTATAAACCCAAATATGAAATGCTTGTTCACCAGTTACTCTAACTCCAACAAAAATCAAGAGTGATTTAAATACATTTTCTTTTTCAATTCCACACTTGCCCTCAGAATGCTGAAACAAATTTCTTCCTGTTAGTTCAATAACTGAATTAAAAATTTTACACCATTGATCACTGGTCAAATTTTTCCCAAACATTTTCATATTTCATATTGAAGAAATCATTAATAGCTAAAGCAGATTTGCCTCTCAATTCTACTGCATGCAAACTGACTTGGTGTTACTTCCTTATCACGATTTGAATGGTTGAATTTATAAATGACATTAACCACAAATCCAGAAAAACCTTTCGCACTATATTTCACAGAGACAGAATCAGGCAAATAAACTCTTCTAATACATTATAAAATACTAAGAATTTTGATATAAATTCCACAAATTTAAAGCCTAGACCAGCAAGGTTTATTGTTGTAATGAGAAGATCAGGAAAAAAGGTAAAAATTTTGATGCAAAATCATAAACCTTACCCTGCGATCTTCAAGATCTGCAATGTCATCATCAACTTCATCTTCACTGTCCCTATCTGACATTACTTGGTCTAATGCCATTGGCTTTAATTAAAACAATAAGAGACATATTAGTGCATATGGAGAAACAATTTATACATTATAGACAGAAAAAATCATAAGAACGATAAACAGCTCTCGATGGAAACCTATTAAGCATACTTGGCCTATCTGACTACGCATTAAAAAAAAATCAGAAGCCCAAGAACACAATCAAAGATTTTCAAGGAAAATTCATGCGTAAAGAGTAAAGTCATCTGACCAAAGTGTCACATCAAACAAAATCTGAAAATTAACAAATGAAATATGAAAGGAAGTAAGGTGGAGTCTGTTCACATGTATTTCTGGGAATAGATTGGTGTTAATGGAGATCTGATGACATTTGAACCCAAGATAAGATTAATAGTTAGAGTAGATTTGCCTCTCAATTCTACTGCATGCCAGCTGACTTGTTTTTACTTCCATTTATACTCATATGGATGCAAATGAATTCTTGTTAATGGAGATCTCACAACATGGATGTTCATGACAAAACTAATAGCATAATCAGCCTAAGAAGATAGCTAAAACTAATCACCTGAACTCGGTGTGAGTGAAAGAATTGGCGTTTCACCAGGAGCATGCGGCTGTGAGAGCACAACATTTGAAAAGTTAAAGATAAAAATAAAAATTATTAGCATGCCTAAACTTCAGATATTTTGAAAAGATAACAATTGCTATTAGCAAACATAACCGAAGAAAAAAACCAAAATTAGGAGAGGGAAAAGCATATTGAGCAATGCAATTAAACAGGAGGGAAAGAATATAACAGAAAAGGCCTCCAAAAACAAGGAAGGAATCGACTGGGGAAAAGCATTGCCTTGGAGAACATACTTCCTAGGTTCAGATCGTTCTGCCATTATTTTCCTTGTTTTTGCAGGAGGAACAGCTGTATCATTTGCAGATAATGATTTAATACAGTCAGGCTCCACGGGAGATTGAGCCATTGCAATTGAAACTCCTGGACCATTGCAACTAGTTGCAACCGGTGCAACACACTCTGTTGCACTAGTATAATCAGCGCCATAGTTTTCCACACCATGCCATCCGTTCTGCATATCTCTCTCAACAGGAATTGACTTGGAAACCCTCTCACCTTCACAGAGTTAAAAAATCAATATCAAAGAAAGGTAATTATGGAATCGTTGTTCTAGCATCTTTTACTTAAAAGTTACCAAATGATGGTGATTTCATGATGTAAAGCATTCACGCACTATAAAAGATATCTAAGACTGAAGCATAAAATGTAAAGATAAATATATAAATGTTATAACAAGTGTTACTGGAAATGTACCATCATCCTTCTCCAGAAATCCATTCTGCCTGCTTTCATTGGCCATTTGGGGTGAGTCCAACTCCAAAAATTGTACATTGACACTCTTCTCACTCTGAAGAGGGTTCGTAGACCTACGCCTTCGAGGCTTCGAGCTGTACATGAAATTGTTTTTACCATTCAACTGCAGCATTTATTACCAGCAAGCAGATGGCAGTTGAAAGAGCAAAATAATATATCCTACCAGAAGCAGAAAGTTTCTACTCGTGGGTCTACTCCACTTGCCACAGTCTGTAACAAGAACATTTGGCAGAATATTAAAGTTCAAGAAGTCATTCATGCTTCTTGATAGAAATTAGGGGAAAGCCACAGGACTAGTCACACTTCATTTTGTTCAACTAAGAAAATGCACTACATATAACAATGATATGCATTTTATTTTCACTTTTCAACCATTGTTAATAATAAACAACACCCCACCCCAAACCAACAGCCATTACTTCCACTTTTGCCATGATGTCTA